ACTGAGTTGTCATAATGATTCAGCAAATGTACACTACCAGTCAAAAGTTTTAGAACGCCTACTCATTCAAGGGTTTTTCTTTATTTTTACTATTTTCTACATTGTAGAATAATAGTGAAGACATCAAAACAATAAAATAACATATATGGAATCATGTAGTAACCAAAAAAGTGTTAAACAAATCAAAATATATTTGAGAAAATGGAAATTGTATTTTACAGTAAACAAATTGACAACAGACTTTCAGCACGCTTATAGGGAAGGACATTCAACAAGCACAGCACTGACACAAATGACTGATGATTGGCTGAGAGAAATTGATGATAACAAGATTGTGGGGGCTGTTTTGTTAGACTTCAGTGTGGCTTTTGACATTATCGATCATAGCCTGTTGCTGGAAAAACGTATGTGTTATGGATTTACACTCCCTGCTATATTGTGGATAAAGAGTTACCTGTCTAACAGAACACAGAGGGTGCTCTTTAATGGAAGCGGTCTCCAACAAAATCCAGGTAGAATCAGGAATTCCCCATGGCAGCTGTCTAGGCCCCTTATTTTTTTCAATCTTTACTAACGACATGCCACTGGCTTTGAGTAGGCAGTGTGTCTATGTATGCAGATGACTCAACACTATACACGTCAGCTACCACAGCGACTGAAATGACAGCAACACTTAACAAAGAGTTGCAGTTAGTTTCAGAATGGGTGGCAAGGAATAAGTTGGTCCTAAATATTCCAAAAACTAAAAGCATTGTATTTGGGATAAATCATTTACTAGACCCTAAACCTCAACTAAATCTTGTAATGAATAATGTGGAAATTGAGCAAGTTCAGGAGACTTGCTTGGAGTAACCCTGGATTGTAAACTGTCATGGTCAAAAACATATTGATACAACAGTAGCTAGGATGGGGAGAAGTCTGTCTATAATAAATCGCTGCTCTGCATTCTTTACAGCACTATCAACAAGGCAGGTCCTACAGTCCCTAGTTTTGTCGCACTTGGACTACTGTTCAGTCTGTTCAATTCAGAGCAATTGGCTCAGAACAGGGCAGCACGGCTAGCCCTTGGATGTACACAGAGAGCTAACATTAATAATATGCATGTCAATCTCTCCTGGCTCAAAGTGGAGGAGAGATTGACTTCATCACTACTTGTATTTGTGAGAGGTATTGACATGTTGAATGTACCAAGCTGTCTGTTTGAACTACTGGCACACAGTTCGGACACCCATGCATACCCCACAAGACATGCCACCGGAGGTCTCTTTACAGTCCCCAAGTCTAGAACAGACTATGGGAGGTGCACAGTACCACATAGAGCCATGACTACATGGAACTTATGCCAGCAGTAAAATTAGATTGAAAAAACAGATAAAAATACACCTTATGGATAAGCGTGAGACTGTGAAGCAACACAAACATAGACACATGCATACAAACACACGATAACATATGCACTATACACACATGTACACGTGGATTATGTGTTATAGATATGGGGTTGTAGAGTAGAGGCCTAAGGGCACACACTTAATATGTTGTGAAATCTGTTATGAATGTTTTGTAATGTTTTTTAAATGGATACAGTGAGGGAAAAAAGTATTTGATCCCCTGCTGATTTTGTACGTTTGCCCACTGACAAAGACATGATCAGTCTATAATTTTAATGGTAGGTTTATTTGAACAGTGAGAGACAGAATAACAACAAAAAAATCCAGATAAACGCATGTCAAAAATGTTATAAATTGATTTGCATTTTAATGAGGGAAATAAGTATTTGAACCCTCTACAAAACATGACTTAGTACTTGGTGGCAAAACCCTTGTTGGCAATCACAGAGGTCAGACATTTCTTGTAGTTGGCCACCAGGTTTGCACACATCTCAGGAGGGATTTTGTCCCACTCCTCTTTGCAGATCTTCTCTAAGTCATTAAGGTTTCGAGGCTGACATTTGGCAACTCGAACCCTTAGCTCCCTCCACATATTCTCTATGGGATTAAGGTCTGGAGACTGGCTAGGCCACTCCAGGACCTTAATGTGCTTCTTCTTGAGCCACTCCTTTGTTGCCTTGGCCGTGTGTTTTGGGTCATTGTCATGCTGGAATACCCATCCACGACCCATTTTCAATGCCTTGGCTGAGGGAAGGAGGTTCTCACCCAAGATTTGACGGTACATGGCCCCGTCCATCATCCCTTTGATGCGGTGAAGTTGTCCTGTCCCCTTAGCAGAAAAACACCCCGAAAGCATAATGTTTCCACCTCCATGTTTGACGGTGGGGATGGTGTTCTTGGGGTCATAGGCAGCATTCCTCCTCCTCCAAACACGATGAGTTGAGTTGATGCCAAAGAGCTCGATTTTGGTCTCATCTGACCACAACACTTTCACCCAGTTCTCCTCTGAATCATTCAGATGTTCATTGGCAAACTTCAGACGGGCCTGTATATGTGCTTTCTTGAGCAGGAGGACCTTGCGGGCGCTGCAGGATTTCAGTCCTTCACGGCGTAGTGTGTTACCAATTGCTTCCTTGGTGACTATGGTCCCAGCTGCCTTGAGATCATTGACAAGATCCTCCCGTGTAGTTCTGGGCTGATTCCTCACCGTTCTCATGATCATTGCAACTCCATGAGGTGAGATCTTGCATGGAGCCCCAGGCCGAGGGAGATTGACAGTTATTTTGTGTTTCTTCCATTTGCGAATAATCGCACTAACTGTTGTCACCTTCTCACCAAGCTGCTTGGCCATGGTCTTGTAGGCCATTCCAGCCTTGTGTAGGTCTACAATCTTGTACCTGACATCCTTGGAGAGCTCTTTGGTCTTGGCCATGGTGGAGAGTTTGGAATCTCATTGATTGATTACTTCGTGTGCTCCTAATCTCAGCTCGTTACCTTTATAAAAAACACCTGGGAGCCAGAAATCTTTCTGATTGAGAGGGGGTCAAATACTTATTTCCCTCATTAAAATGCAAATCAATTTATAACATTTTTGGCATACGTTTTTCTGGATTTTGTTGTTGTTATTCTGTCTCTCACTGTTCAAATAAACCTACCATTAAAATTATAGACTGATCATTTCTTTGTCAGTGGGCAAACGTACAAAATCAGCAGGGGATCAAATACTTTTTTCCCTCACTGTAACTGCCTTAATTTTGCTGGAGCTAATGGGGATCCATAACAAATACAAATACAATTGTTCCCTTTCTGAAAAGTGATGGCACGGTGCGTATATGTGGGGACTACAAACTCACCATCAACAGGGCCTCTAAGCTGGACGCTTACCCACTGCCGCGGGTGGAGGACCTGTTCCCGATGCTTGCAGGAGGCAAGACATTCTCAAAGCTTGACATGAGTCACGCCTACCAACAGCTCCTCCTGGACGAGGACTCAAAAGAGTATGTCACAGTCAACACGCACAAAGGCTTGTTCAGGTACAACCGCTTGGTTTTCGGAGTGGCGTCCAGTCCAGCCATTTTACAGAGGACAATGGACAATCTGCTGCAGGGGATCCCTCATGTAGCAGTGTACCTGGACGACATCCTGGTTACAGGGGAGACGGAGGAGGAGCACCTCCACCACCTGGATCAGGTGTTAAAGAGATTCTCAGAGGCAGGGCTGCGCCTGAAACATAGCAAGTGCACATTCCAAGCACAGAGTGTGACATACCTAGGTCACAAGATCACAGCGCAGGGTCTGTGTCCTGTGGAGGACAAAGTCTGGGCAATCAAGGATGCTCCAAACCTCAAGAACGTGTCCAAGCTCAGGTCATTCCTGGGCATGGTGAACTACTATGGTAAGTTCCTCCCTGAGCTGTCAACAGTGTTGGCTACACTTTATTAGCTGCTCCAAAGACTGTAAATGTAAGTGGGGGCCAGCACAAGAGAAAGCTTTCAAGGAAGTGAAAGCACTACTACAATCAGCACAACTGCTGGTTCATTTTGACCAAGACAAAGAGATCATCCTGTCATGTGACGCCTCGCCCTATGGCGTCGGGGTAGTATTCTCTCATCAGATGGAGTATGGGTCAGAGAAACCCATTGGATTGGCATCACGCACGCTGACGAGTGCTGAGAAGGGTTATTCACAGTTAGACAAGGAAGGTTTTCATCTGTACCTATACGGTCGTCATTTCACCATATGCACTGACCACAAACCACTGATGAGCCTTTTCAGTGAATCAAGATGCATTCCTCCCATGGCTTCAGCAAGGACACAGCGCTGGGCCCTCACACTGTCAGCTTACCAGTACACTATAGTGTATAGAGCGGGGAAGAACAATGCAAACGCAGACGCGTTCAGTCGTCTCCCGCAACCAGAGATGCCCGCCACAACTGTGGTGCCTCCAGAGACAATTTTCCTAATGGAGAGATTGTTAAACTCACCTCTGAATGCCAAACAGATCAAACAGTGGACAGACCGGGATCCAGTCCTGGCCCAAGTGAAAAGATTCCTTATGTAGGGTTGACCTCCTGTCATAGAGGATGATGGACTGAGACCTTATGCAAAACTGAGCTGATGGCTGCATCCTCTGGGGGTCCAGAGTGGTTGTTCCGCCCCCTGGCCGTGCACAAGTCATGGATGAGGTCCATGAGGCTCAGCCGGGTCAAAAACAGGGCAGGCTCCAGCTGAGATGTTGATGGGCAGAAAGCCAAAAGCTCACCTGGATCTACTGCGTCCGGACATCAAAGCACGAGTGGAACGGAAGCAGGAAAAACAAAAAGAGCGACATGACCACCACGCGAGGGAGAGTTAAAACCCAATGACACTGTCTACATCTGCAAATTCACAAGCAGCCAACGCTGGTTGCCAGGTATCTTTCTGAGTCAGAGTGGTCCAATCTCCTTTGTGGTCAAACTGACTGATGGTGGAGTCATGCGCAGACAACAGGATCACATCCGCCTGCACTATGACAAAGAAAATACCATGTTTTCAGACGGAACAGCTGCGGGTGGTAGTATACAAGTTGAAACCCCACAGGAAACGGTATCTGAGAAACAGGGGCATTCAGTGGTTCCAGCAGATGGTGATGGACTTTCTCTCACAAACACCAACACGCTCCTGTGCCCTCAGACCCAGCTCCACTGGGACACGCCTTACCGGTGTCTCGTGGCACACCAGGAGTACTGCGCAGATCACAGCGTAGTCACAAGCCTCCTGAAAGACTAACTCTGTAGTTGAGACTGAGAGACTCGTGGTGTTAGTGTTTGTTTGGAACAGCAGACCTAGTCGAAAATAAATAAGGACTGTAATTTTTTGTTTGTTTACATTTACAGTAACACTAGCAGAAGTTCTAAAGTGTTGTGAAGAAAATAAAATAAAACACTGATGTGGTTTACTTGTTAACCTTATGTTTTCCTTACAGGGTGTCACGGATGCCGCCGAGGCTGCTCCTCCTCCTTGCTCGGGCAGGCTTCGGCGTTCGTTGTCCCCGGAGTATTAGCTACTACCGCTTGATGTTTTCGATGTTTGTTTTGTCATGTCTAGTTGGTACACCTGTTTCGTATTCTGTATTGATTATGTCACGTATAAGTTCACCTGTTTTATGTTTTGCCTTTGTATGTTATTGTCCGCGTGTCTTGGATGTATGTGTCGGTATTTTGCTCATCGTGTCTATTACGCATATGGTGTTTTTCCCTCCAGTGTTGGAGACGTTTATTTGTGCGTATTTAGTTTGTTAGTAAAGTCGTCTTTACTTATCCTCTGTGTCCTGCGCCTGACTTCACCACCGCATACACATCAGCTTTTGACACAGGGGGGATGAAATTAAGGGGGAAGTGTTATAGTGTGGACACTATATAAATAATTACATTGAATATGTATTGTACTTACCGGCAGTATAGTATGATTACTATTCATGTGTGCATGGTTATTATTGGCATTGACATTGACCGTGACCTTTCCCCTTTGATGATGTCATCACCCAGAGTAGGATCTGTACAATGCGACTCTACCACATGTTGAGTGGGCTGTATCGTTTTGCTGTATTTGTACCCTTTGGACATGGCTGTACACCTTTTATTTCTTAGGTTGAAAGTAAAGGAAAGTAATATTGAAATGCGTGTGGGCATTCCTTGTCAAGTTACCACAGCGTCCATTAATATATTCAAACAGTGCCTCAGCTGGTTTGCGCATGCAGGAGTGGTCCTTGTTTTGCCTCTACTCCCACAGACACTTGTGTAAAACCCCTGCTTCATTGTTCCTCCTGCAGCCGTTGGATAGGCATATAATTGACTTTCACTTGACCACTGTAACATACGATTAGCCTAGGGTACTTAATCTAGTGGGCCGCTATAGTTTTATAATGGGCTGCAAAATAGCGGTTTTGTAGCGAATTTGGAGAGCAGCTTGACATGGGACATACACATGCATAGCCCCCGGTCTCCAGGATCCTAAGATAATTTGTTTTATTGGGTATGCTCACGTAGCCTACTAGCCTATAGTCGTTAGAAGGATAGTTGCCATAAGGGGGAAATACTACTGTTAGTAAAGCACCATGGATAAGGTCGTTAATAGTTGTCATTATGCAAACATTTTGTGCAAGGTGTTCGCCTAGGGTACGCAGCAGAACGTTGTTGCGAATTCGGAGATCAGACTGACTCAACCAAGAAAGTTTTTTGTTTGTGATCATAACGCACCATAGTCGTTAGAAGAGTGTATGCCTATAGTCTGAAATTGAAAGGGGGAAACTTGGTGTGTGTGTGCGTGCTATTATATTATTAGATTGATAAGCGTGAGAGCGCAGTGACGCCTGTTTGATTGAGTGTATTAGATCATTAGATTGATAAGCGTGAGAGTGCTGTGACGCCTGTTTGAATGAGTGTATTAGATCATTAGATTGATAAGCGTGAGAGCGCTGTGACGCCTGTTTGAATGAGTGTATTAGATCATTAGATTGATAAGCGTGAGAGCGCAGTGACGCCGGTTTGAATGAGTGTATTAGATCATTAGATTGACGGCCATATGTTTGTTTTCCCCCTACTTTTTACCGCCCACACACACACACACACACCTGCATACACATCTGCATACACACACAACCTGGCCGTCTCTGTATGTAATCCCGGTTCCTCCTTCTGAAAAGAATCTGTGGCACAACCATTTTCAGGTCCTAATACTTATAATAATATGGTTATTATGTGCTAAAAGAGAAAGGATTTCCTTCTTCCTAAATCCAATTCTAAAGTATAGTTTCACCAGGTCATCTAACTAAGGCATTTCAATTGTGGCGCGCACAGCATCAGGGAGCCAGGGAGACATGCACTTAATCAAATCCCCTACGTTAATCTTGAAATATAACTGAGACTTTATTCTAAACATGTTGACTTTATTCTCGAAATATTGGCACTTTGTTCACAAAATTTAATTTGGACTTCATTCTCAAAATATTGCCACTTTATTCTCGAAACATTGTCACTTTTTTAAAGCACTAGCATGCAAAAATAATAATCCAAGTACCACCACCGCCGCTGTTTATTACATTTTTTCTCTTCACTTGGCCCTAATACTCTTCCGAATATAAAGTATAATATTGGGATGCAAACTCCAAATTGAATATATTTCAACTCTATATTTGACATGGTACAGGTGTCTTCTTTTATTAAACCCATGACCATGTGTGTGAGGTGTATACTTTTGTTTCAAAGTAGATTTGTTTAAGACTACCAAGAATCACTCTGTGTGACGTTGATTTAGCCCACTGCAGTAAAAGGTTAAGCTCTGAGGCAGACACAGATGTGGAGACCACAGAGGGATAATGTGGAGGTAATGCATCCGATAAAACCAAAATGGGATCTTTATAATCCCACAAGCAGACAGTAAATGGGAAAACCTTTTCCCAGCAGTCTGTGTGTGTGTGTGTGTGTATCAGTGGTCAGTGAGTTAATAGCTCCATGTACTGTACTGAAACTGTACCTCATCTCTGAATGTGTGCACGTGTTCCTTACAGCCTGGAAGACCTTGGATGAACTCAATCACCTGTAACACATTGGACATCATGGTTAGTACAGTTATCCAAATTACCCGCACAGTTATCTAGACTGAAAGGAACACTGTAATGACAATGTAAGTTATCCAGTACCTCCTCCACTGTCCACACAGCCACTTTGCTTGAAGTGATGCCAGCCACGGTGGGTAGCAGCTTGCTGTGCTGGTCCCAGCAGAAAGGAGTGCTGCTAGGGGATGGCGAGGTGCATGGCATGAACACTGACTGGTGAAGGGCTTCCTGTAGTGTCAGCTCTACTGTATGGAAGAAAAGAAAATAAACATGCTAAACCATGAATTAACTTCATTTTAAACAGCAAGGGATCTGTTGCTGTGGCTACCTGTAGATGAGCAGCTTGATATTAAATCAGCAAAAGTGATCTGATGGAAGTATCTAGAAAGGCTAGAAGAAACAGAAAGCAGATGCTTGATGCTCACTCCTCCTAACCATATTAGGAACCAGGGGGAATCAGTCTAATCAGATAGTGAGTTAATGCTGTCTTTTACTTTGCTCCAGGCATAAACACAGCTTTGAGCATCTTCCAACGTTTATTTCCTAAAATTGATAATTGGTAGTGACAATTAAAGTGAAGCAAAATATTTCAGCCAATAGCAAAGGTCACAGTCACAAACTGATGGGTCATAATTCTTTGGTATGGATTTAATGACAGTTGTGACACAGCAACTTCATGTAACTTTACTTTGGTTGACAGAGAAACGAACAACAAAGCACCCCGAGGACATTATTATTCATGTTTCAGGGAAATGGGGAGTATTTTGTGGAAGTGTCTTCACTCGCCATTCTGCTGAGTAAATACCTGTGGGGCACTGGGTGTTATATATGAATATGCATGTTAGAGAATGACCACTACTCATTATATCTATAATATACAGTGGGGTCTGAAATGATTTACACCCTTGATAAAGATAAGCAAATATGCCTGTAAAAATAAATTATACAAATACTAAGGTGTATTGTATGCTCCAAAAAATTGGGAAATTATTTTATTTTATATTAATACAATTGCTCAGAGAAAGAGATTCTGTATAATAAGTAACACTTTAGTCTCAAAAGGTAGGGGTCAAAATTATTGACACCCGTTTTCAATACCTTGCGAGGATAACGGCACAGCCTTTTTCTCAAATGTTTTATGAGTTGGAGAACACATTGGAAGGGATCTTATCAGTGGCGGCTCGCCCATTAGGGCGTTAGGGACGGCACCCCACTTGTGATAACATTTAAAAAACAGTTTACATATATTTTTGTAAACAAATATATTATATAATTCATGGATTATGTTTTAAATGCTCATAAAAGTGTAGTAAATGTTTACATTTTCCTGTTTAAAAAAATATATTGTTTAAAACAAACTGTTCAGTTACTTACTACTCTGCCCCTCAGTAGTGCTGAGCGATTAGTGCTTTTTGAGGTCAGTTAGGTTTCAGTTCGATTATTCAAAAATAATCACAGTTTTTGATTTCGGTTGTGATTTTTTAAAAATAGATTAATGCATTATGAAATAGAGCTTGTTAATAGAAATTCCAAAGCCATAAATAGTGAGAATTTAATTGCCAAAATATAGAAAATATTGCATTGTCTCTGTCAGGTGCACATTGGGTAGACATAAATAGAAAAATAGGAAATTACTATGAAATACTAAAATATTTCAGTTGTGTATATTACTTAGTTTTTTATTTCATTACTTTATCATTTTTCATTCCTTAAAGTCATCATCTCTGCTCAGGCCGTAGCAGTCTGCCAGCCAAACCTAACGTTATCTATATGCTCCCCATACTGTACTGTCTTTAGTCATCCTATTTAGCTAGCCTGCCTAAGTACTGTAGCCTACAGTATACTGTAGAGCTGTCTCATGAAATAATTTCACTAGTTCTTCAAAGTAGATAAGGCATACTTTCACGAACTGTCTCTGTCCCTCTCGTCGTTGGGTTGAGTACATTCCTCTCTCATGCGGTCTGTGTGGATATCTAACCTAACGTAGCAGGCGTAACAGTGTATCCATCCAGAGATCTATATACAGTGGGGAAAAAAAGTATTTAGTCAGCCACCAATTGTGCAAGTTCTCCCACTTAAAAAGATGAGAGAGGCCTGTAATTTTCATCATAGGTACACATCAACTATGACAGACAAATTGAGAGAATAAAATCCAGAAAATCACATTGTAGGATTTTTTATGAATTTATTTGCAAATTATGGTGGAAAATAAGTATTTGGTCACCTACAAACAAGCAAGATTTCTGGCTCTCACAGACCTGTAACTTCTTCTTTAAGAGGCTCCTCTGTCCTCCACTCGTTACCTGTATTAATGGCACCTGTTTGAACTTGTTATCAGTATAAAAGACACCTGTCCACAACCTCAAACAGTCACACTCCAAACTCCACTATGGCCAAGACCAAAGAGCTGTCAAAGGACACCAGGAACAAAATTGTAGACCTGCACCAGGCTGGGAAGACTGAATCTGCAATAGGTAAGCAGCTTGGTTTGAAGAAATCAACTGTGGGAGCAATTATTAGGAAATGGAAGACATACAAGACCACTGATAATCTCCCTCGATCTGGGGCTCCACGCAAGATCTCACCCCGTGGGGTCAAAATGATCACAAGAACGGTGAGCAAAAATCCCAGAACCACACGGGGGGACCTAGTGAATGACCTGCAGAGAGCTGGGACCAAAGTAACAAAGCCTACCATCAGTAACACACTACGCTGCCAAGGACTCAAATCCTGCAGTGCCAGACATGTCCCCCTGCTTAAGCCAGTACATGTCCAGGCCCGTCTGAAGTTTGCTAGAGTGCATTTGGATGATCCAGAAGAGGATTGGGAGAATGTCATATGGTCAGATGAAACCAAAATAGAACTTTTTGGTAAAAACTCAACTCGTCGTGTTTGGAGGACAAAGAATGCTGAGTTGCATCCAAAGAACACCATACCTACTGTGAAGCATGGGGGTGGAAACATCATGCTTTGGGGCTGTTTTTCTGCAAAGGGACCAGGACGACTGATCCGTGTAAAGGAAAGAATGAATGGGGCCATGTATCATGAGATTTTGAGTGAAAACCTCCTTCCATCAGCAAGGGCATTGAAGATTAAACGTGGCTGGGTCTTTCAGCATGACAATGATCTCAAACACACCGCCCGGGCAACGAAGGAGTGCCTTCGTAAGAAGCATTTCAAGGTCCTGGAGTGGCCTAGCCAGTCTCCAGATCTCAACCCCATAGAAAATCTTTGGAGGGAGTTGAAAGTCTGTGTTGCCCAGCGACAGCCCCAAAACATCACTGCTCTAGAGGAGATCTGCATGGAGGAATGGGCCAAAATACCAGCAACAGTGTGTGAAAACCTTGTGAAGACTTACAGAAAACGTTTGACCTGTGTCATTGCCAACAAAGGGTATATAACAAAGTATTGAGAAACTTTAGTTATTGACCAAATACTTATTTTCCACCATAATTTGCAAATAAATTCATAAAAAATCCTACAATGTGATTTTCTGGCTTTTTTTTCCTCATTTTGTCTGTCATAGTTGACCTTTACCTATGATGAAAATTACAGGCCTCTCTCATCTTTTTAAGTGGGAGAACTTGCACAATTGGTGGCTGACTAAATACTTTTTTTCCCCACTGTATAATGACGAGATGCTCATGTCTCCGCCCTATCAATGGGAGTCGTTGTCCCAAAGGCGGGAAGGCAGGCGACAAGCTTAGGTCCAAAATAAACCCATAGAAACACATTTTTTGGACAGATTTTGGCGAGAGTGGAACCTCTCTGATCCATCTCCGTACGAGACGGAAAAGAATGGCGCAATGGATTATGGGATTGTAGTTAATTACCACATTTCTGAGCTGAACTAGGTTGAATATTTGTGACCGACCGCCTTGATTCGGTCTTATGTAGCAAAATTTGATTTTTTTTTTTACATAGGATAAAAGCAGACACACAGAGCTACAAAATTGTATATCATACATTTGAAGAACAATGGGAAAGTAATTCTGCTTTGAAAGTTTATCAACTTGTAATCTCACTTTTGAGAAAATGGCCTTTGAATGTTTTGGTACATACTGGAGAGCTCTTCTTTGTCTATACCCATTCAGCATTGTTCACACCCCCTTAAGCTTTAGCCCCAACCCATCTCGTTTCGCTCTCGGAGCGTTCAGAGCGCACACTGGATGCTCTGGCCGATGAGTAGGGTTGATCCGAGCGTTCTGACCTCACAACGGCAGTCAAGCACCCAAGCTAACTGGCTAACGTTGGTGACTCTAACCGTGCTGCTGGCAACAATTTAATTATGCTTTTTTGCCGACACCGGCCATATTCAAAGGGTGTTGAGCGTTCGTAAATTCATCAGTTATTCTATGCTCTGGCATACTCAGACTGAATTTACAAACGCACCCGAAATGGTTACTAGCTAGCTAGGTAAACAATTAACCATAATCACAACTCATGACGTTACTACCCTGCATGAATCTGCAGGTAGCTAACCAACCAGGTTCAATGTTAGCTAGCTAACGTTAGGCTATAAGTAGCAAAGCAAATGGCTCTGATATACGAATAATAAGATCATACCCGTAACGTTAGCTAGAGAGCCAGCCAGCTAACGTTAGCTAGCTAGCTAACAGTACACTTTAACTTGAAATGAAAACGACTTTGTCAAAATTAGTAACGTGTAATAATTGAAAATGTAGCTAGCTAGACTATTTTACCCGTGCTCTGAAATCGGAGTAGATAGCCAGAGCGAATTTACCAGCTAGTACGTCTTTCAACAGTTGTCGCAGTGACATTCTATTGAAATGGATACATGCATAGTGGAGTCTTTTGTTAAGACATGTAGCTAGCTAGCTAGCTAAACAATGAACCATAATCCCAACTCATGACATTACTACCCTGCATTAATCTGCAGGTAGCTAACCAACTGTCACGCCCTGACCTGGAGAGACTGTTATTCTCTAGGTAGTTTGGTCAGGGTGTGAAACTCTATGTATTGTATTTCTATGTTTGGCCGGGTGTGGTTCCCAATCAGAGGCAGCTGTCGCTCGTTGTCTCTGATTGGGGATCATACTTAGGCAGCCAGTTTTCCTGCCTGGGTTGTGGGATCTTGTTTGTGTTTCGGTGTGTTTGGCTTGTTTGTGTATAGCCTTCCGACGTCAGGTTTCGTTGCCTTTTGTTGTTTTGTTCGGTGTTTATTGTTTTAATAAACATGTATGCATTCCACGCTGCGCCTTGGTCTAATCCGTCTCTCAACGAT